TCGAGGTACGAGGGGAAGGGGCTGAATAATTCATAGGAATCGGCCATAGGAGGGCAAGGGGGGGTAGGAAAAAAAGGTGATGGGGAGGAATCGTAAATTTCAATTTATGAAACTGTTAAGCATTCGAACGTCCATCGAGTCCGACATGCCATGGTCGCATCTCCATATTTCAGCTGCGTGTGACTATTGATTCCTCGGCGAGTGGGCGCGAGCAGTTATTCCTAGTTGCACGGGTACTATGGGGGTTTATTCAGGGCAAACGCATCAAGCCGATATTTGGCTACGGTATAGGAATTAGACGTATGCGCGAACTTTGGACAGATCAGGTTAGCTCGGTTAACCCTGTTATATGGCGAAGAATCTGCCGTATGGGAAATGTACCTGTCTTTACATCGATGAGGTCTCGACGTCTTTTTCTACGTTTCCCTCTATCTCTGTCCCTCTTTCCGTACGTCCGTAAACGCTGTACGGGATACTCATAAAGCGGGGTCGCCCTTCTCCCATGGGGTTTCTCGAGGTAATACTCTCGCCGTAGAACGGGATTATGTACTCCCCGGCAGGGGTAGTTCGCATACCTCAGAAGGGGTGGCTCCTGTTGGATTTCGCCCTGTGCGAAAATGTGCCGAGACTCTGCCATCCGGGGCCCGCGTAATTGTTTTAGCTCGCTTGGTGCAACCCTCGTGCGGTTCCAGGGCGAGAGCCAAGGGCATAGAAAATATAGTGGGTAACGTATATCGGTGTAACCTTTCACGATATTCATACGGATATCAGACCGATTTCATATTAGTTTTTTTTTCTTCTATTCTTTTACTACAAATCATGAAAATATTTCTTATATATTTCTCCGATGGGCATACGCATAAGTGTTCGTATATCTGAACGGACTCGGCTTCTGGTCGTAGATGATATACTCTTTCCAAAGAGTAGCGCAGAAAGTCCCAGCTCAGTGAGCAAGATCCGTACCAGCACCAACATCCACGACCAGTACCCGAGATCAGGGCAATACCCGTTCACTCGTATGTATTGCGAATTCCACGAGTAAGAGGGAGGTAAAGGGGTGTCCCGTTGCAAAAGGAACGAGACTCGTGGAACAAGAATGGGAATGAGGGTTGAGACGTAGAGAGGGCGTGCTGGGGGGATAAATCGAGCGATAAAATCGCGGCGTCACAGCCACGACATTTATCATAATTCAGAGAGGAAGGAGTCGACGCTCTCTTTCGAACCAGGCTGATCCGGGCTGGTCCGGTGGACTCCCTGCACGGAATAAAGAATCCAACTCGTGCCCGATCGCTATCTCACGTAAAAACATGTCTCCACATACTCGTCCTATACTTCTCTTCGGTCCTTGGTAGTGCGCACAGTCACAGTCCACCTGTAAACATATAGACATGCACGTTCGCTCGAGGATTTCCCCCTTCTCACCCGTCGGTCTTTCTGCTCTCTGAGTTGTATATACTGTACAGTGCTTCTAGCATTTTCGAAAGAGGACATACATATACCAATTGGTCTGTACTCGTAGCCGAACACTGGATCACTGGGACACAGCGATCTAAATCCTCGTTCGGGTAAAGGTATAGGGCACGTAGGGATTCGTACCTTCGAGAACCGTGTCCATCTAGCGGCGCGATACGACACTGATGTACACTAACGTGAATCAACAGCCATAAAGCCAATTTCGAGAACTGTTATTCGTGAAACGATAAGAAGTGCATGGCTATCTAACAACACGGATAAGTCGTGAGATAAGAAACTCGAACGTGTCACGGTAGTGGTAGACAGTAGGTACGGAGGTTTCGACGTCGGACGTCGGATGGACGGGATCAGGAATACCTCGTGCCGTTACGCGACATCAGCGACGTTTACCGTCCTGGCGGCGGATAACCAAACTAAGCGATCGGACTCTCGCGGGACTTCGCTCGGGGGTCTGAGAACAGAGATATTACGTGCAGGGGGCGCGCGTGACGCTGCGAAAGGAAAAAATATATTGTAGATGGGATTAGAAGATGAGTTTTATTGTTATGGGTCCGCGGAGTTTATACGAAATATGGGACGTGAGTCGTGAGCGGTGGATTGGGAGTCGCCTGGGGCTGGTGGGGCGAGGATTAGGGAGGGGATCGGCGGCCATTATAGATTTACCATTAGCGCGTCACAGGTGGATGACTTTATTAAAAGTCGAGGAGCCACTTCAGGCTATTTCTTCTTCGCCCCTGGACTCTCTCTTCCAGTTCTTCTACCTCTTCGTTCTTCCTAACGTCGAACCCTTTCCTTCCGACCTCCTTCCTTCTTCTACTCACGATGGCCAGGTCCCCGATGACGTCACACGAAATCCTACCGTTAAAGATGGCCGACTCTCACCTGCGTCTCCTCGAAAAGTTTTCCTCCCGGGGATGGTACTTCCGGTCGGAGCGTCTAGACCGATTAGTGTCCGCTCGCCGGAAGTGGGAAGTGAAGGATGAGTGGGCGGTTGGATGTTGGGATACCGCGCCAAGAGAAAAACTTGCGGAAGTGGCCGAAGAGGAACGGGCACACCACTGGGAGACAAATTGAATTCGGAAAAAGTCTTTTTTTTTTTTTATTGTCACAAAATTTCATAGATTCTCCAGTCTCGCTGTACTCTGTATCCTGTGGCTGCGACCATGCAAACTCATGATTTCGCGGCACGGGTCACGCCTCGGGCACGTAATACAGACTGACCACTTTCTCTCTCTATCTCTCTTCGTGAACTCATATGATATTTGAAATTGAGACGAGACACTGGGGAAATGTGGGAAATTACGAAACTTCGAACGCACGAACTACGCGGACACATTCATAATATTCGATCGTGTAGAAATGTATATGGCTACGCATGACTATTGGACCAGCTGAAGGTAGTTCTGTCCTGATTTGATTTCTATTAATTCCCACGATACCATCTTCCGGTGCTGCAACAGTCCTGAATAACCTCTGCATCCACGTGTCTAGGTCCAATCACCAAACTCATTCCGAGTAACTTTGAAAAAAAAGAAAAAGAATTAAAACACCCTGAAATTGCGTGCGCGCATACTCACCTTCGATCAACCAGAAGGCAGGTACTCAATTTATAAATTTTATTAAACGGCGCGCGTGCAGCCTTCCATCGTCTTTCGATGAATACACTGAGACCTCTCAATGGTGCTGTAACCGCGTCGATATCCCGGATCGACGTCTTAAGTGCACCAAAAAGGTGAAGGATATGAAGCCCGAGGAAAAAGGCGAGAACAGTGAGAGACGGCGGTGCAGAGGATGTTCGTATCTAGTGTGATTTCCCTGGGGTAAAGTCGGGGGGCCGATCAGTCGATCGAGTGGGTGGTTGAAAACCGCACTGGGAAACCTAATATCCGAGAGTCTCTCTTGGTCCCTTGTGTCGCCCTCGCGGCGGATAGGGACGCCGTGGAGTGTGTGTGAGAGGGAGAGAGAGAGAGAGAGAGAGAGAGAGAGAGAGAGAGAGAGAGAGAGAGGAGTAGGAGGGGACGAAGTGCTAAAGAGAAAATGCGAAGAAAGTGAAGAAAGTAACTCGAGCCGTTGAAACTTCGTGGTCCATCCGATCCTTGGATGAGAGTGTCAAACTTTAAACACAATCCAGTCTCGCTGGTCTGGTCCATCGGAGATATCTATTGATCCTGTTTCTTAGTATATCGATTCCGTAAAATCTCATCTGTAAAATCTTAGGCGCGCGACGTCGACACCTATGGACATAGGGAATGCGAACTGGAGCACGTGTTCGTCGTATACGCCAGGGACGGGTGGGGCGAGGAGGGGGCCCGGGGCGTGGTGGTCGGGGTGAATGGTCCTGTGGGAGGCTGAGTATATTCAGAGGAATTTCATCCGGCGAAATCCGAAAAATCAATTTCTCACGGGCCATTAGGTGCATATGCTAGCCAAACATCTCTGCTTCCAAAGTAAACGTTTTTCCGAGCTTTTCACGAAAATCGTCGCGCGGCACTTTAACCGCATCCGCGCGCGTGCCTCGGTCGCTTTCTTGGAAATGGAGAAAAAATAAAGAGGGCCCCCAGAGACGACACGGGATATACCTACGGCAAGAGCTGACGTGGGACGGAGAGAGAAGGCGCGATGAGTAAAGGTCTCGGGGTAGACTTTTCGATCGTTCGATTCGTCTTATTCCTACTTATACCGTGTGTCTCAAATGTATTCAGTTTGAAAATCGGCTGGGACCACTCGGAAGCTATGTACGTTCTCACCTACATCCCAATCTGAAGATTCACCCTACTACCCAACCAACTCGCCAATCTCACCATCTACGGACTTACCTGCATCCTTCGTATTTCGATATTTTCCACTGTAAATTCTGTTCCCAAGTGGCTTACAAATATGCCGATAAGAATACAATATTGGCGCGAGTTCCCGCCGTATTGCTCGGCAGTCGATTCACAAATCGATTTCTCCCTCCCGACTTCTTCCTATTCCCGATCCTTCCCCTGCGGCAATCTTACCTCCGCTTCATCGCGGAACTCGAGCGTCGAACCTGTTCGGGCTCCTGGGTAGCAGGCCGGGCTCGACGGGCCGTGATAAGGGAGTAGAGATTTTTCAAATAAAAGGCATGACTTTATCGCTTAATATTTCCTTAAGGAGCACGCGCAACAATCTCGCAGCTACTGCCGTTCCGGCTGGGCCGTTGAAACGATACATAAAGTTCAGACTTTCTGCCTACGACGTGACTTATTACGCACTCCGGACCGTGTCACCCTTGACTGTCGCCATCGTCCATCCGCCCCTGACTCAAAAGCGTAGGAGAGCCGGGTGCTAGTCAGGTACACTAGGTATCGGCTAACAGCTCTACGCTCTGTAAGTGCTCGTGGTACGAGGGTAGCGGAAAAGGGGTTTCGAGTCCAGAGGGTGAAATTGTAGCTATTGACGTCGCTACTTTAGTTCAATTAATATGCGCTAACGTCGTTAATTAATGCAGAGGACCGAGCTAGCGTCAGAGGATGCTGAGAGGAGGCGGAGAAGATTCAGTCACCCTGCCACCGTGCCTCTCGCCACTCTATTCCTTTGGCACCCTTCGCCAATGTCTCTCTAACGTACTGATAGGTGGGTGACGGCGGAACCGTTTTCCCACCCCGTATTTCGTCCAGCTATGTGACACAGGGACCCCCGACTACTACCTACCACCTTGACTTTCACATCAGAGGCAGACCAGGGCAATATCATGGGTTCGAGTGCTTTGGAGTATCAGCAGCCCTCGTGTGTAACTCACACTTCTCATTGCCAGTAGGCTGCTTACCTACCAACCTTAGCAGGCTTGTACCTACTTACTCCAAGCTACCATCGAGCAACCGTGGCAGCGACTGCTAATCGAGTTATCGATCGCCCCCTTGCCGCGTCACCGGCACGCGATTATTAGATTTTAGCGAAAATTTTCATAATTTTCAATTCATTCAATTTACCGTGGATGGACCCTCACTCACTTTCTTCGATTCGTTCTTTTTTTTACTTACGATTCGCACGGGAACGATCGGTTGGCTGAAATACTATTTCACTGATTTTTTCGAAGTCACGTGATACTCGGGCGCATCACTCACTCGTGGCCGAAGTGTGGTACATGTGCGTATACTATGGTGCATGTATCTAGGTAACTTACGTGGGACGTCAGCGCCGTGCAAAGGACGATGCTATTGGGGCCCATATAAAATAGTAAAAATAGTGAAGTCGGGCGGGTGCAGGGAAGCTTGAGAAAAATTCCAATATTCTCGCGAGTGTCCTCGTCGTGCACGGAATGCATCTCGGGCTTTGATTGTGCTTCGCCAGCATATTTTCTCCACGCTTCTCGATATTGCGCGACGCTGGGATTTCTCTTTCGTGTCAAAATCGCGCGTGGCTGTCGCGTAGCAATGCACCAGTGGCACGTATGGGTGTGTCGATACTTGGATACTTGGAGACGGTACTCGAACGGAATGTTAGGACTAATATTCCTACTTATCGATCACCTTGTATTGTTTTTGTTACAGGTGATGCATCCTCGTTCAGCGGAAAGTTTCGCAAGTTCGGGAATACCTGTCTCGCTGTAGGTCGTTACCTGTGCTTATGTAGATACCCTGGTTGGGCCGAACGAAAGTAAACTTTGATCGATAGAGGCACTGCCAGTGATCGATAGTGGTCGCATGACCTGAAAGTGAATTTTTTTAAGGTGATTTATGTATATTTGAAAAAAAAAAAAGAGTCAAATAGTGCGACTTCTCCGAAGATAGATGACCTTGCCCGATAACGTTATACCCGTCGACGGGGAGGTGAGAGTGATCGCGGAAAGCAGAGGCCAGGGCACGCGGCTCGTACCCACGGGGGTACGGTAGATCGTTGACGAGGACCAGCATCAAGATAAGGCCTCTGGAGCTGATACGGCAAGATGAGCAGGACGAGAGGCTCGCGCCGTTAGCGGTAGCCGAAGTCGCCGTCCACAGGAATTCCCGGGACCGGCCTCCTGGGCCCAGAGAGGCCCTGCCGGACGTTCTGATCGGCGGGGACCAACCAGCCTCTGGTGGACTGGAGAAAATCAAGAGGACTCGCGTCGCCGATAGACTCGGGGTACCTCTGCGGGTTCTACCCGGCTCTCCGGATACTTCGGAAGCAACCTCAAGCCCCGTTCGCAGCGCGCGACGCAAGAGCCGCAGGAGCAAGAAGAACTTGGGTGACCTGCCGATCCGAAGAATTTCCAGCAGCCAATCATCTTCGAGGAACAATTCGTCACGTGGCGGTATAAGTGCTACCAGTTCTCGAGGATCGGCATCGGCTGTCGAATGCGAGTCGCGCCGATCGCCCCGACCTGCCGAGGAATTAAATCGGTCGATCGTATCACCGGAAGCGCACCGAAATCAGCAACCTCATCAGAGAGCCCTTGGTGTATCCCTAACCTTAATTCAGCACGTGGGAACCGCTGAGACCAGGATAGTCGATATATACGGACCGCGTCCTCCTGGAGACATCAGGACGAAACGACAAGGTGATTTCGCCAAGATCCTCGAAGGATCTAACGAGACTGTAAAGGATATCAATAGGAAGATCCTGGCGATGGCTCGCGCCATGACGCCCACCTGGTCGCTAAGGCTCCTTGGAGTTAGCTGTGGATCAGTTGTTTGCGCCTGGGGACTCCTGCTAATATTTTCTGTGCTCGGTGGCGCATCGCACGAAACGGCCATTGGAAGTTTCGGATTGGACGGTCTGGCAGGCGGAATCGACGGTCTTAACGGAGCCCGATGTCCATGGGCCTGCACGTGCGACGGCCAGGAGCTCGATTGTTCTCACAGAGGACTCACTCAAGTACCGGGGGACCTGGCTGCTCTTCTGCTTGCCGAAAAACTGTGAGTACCTTATACGTATATCTGTATACACATATATACACCACGCCGTACCTTGAGGCGTTTAATCGTTACACTCAAAATTTGAATTTCATTCCGCTCGATGCGATCTGCCCACTCGCATTAGGCCAGCAAAGGGCATCGGGGACCGAATAATCAATAGCCGATCGTGCGCCTTAATAAATCCGAGGAGTAAACGACTATTAACGCCGGTATTAGCATACGATTAATATGCCGGCAGCGGGAAGAGAAGAAGGAATGAATAATTAAATCCGTGAAAATACATTAGCCGACCCGCCGTTTTTCTACCGTGTTAAACTTACTTTTTTACGCTGTCAAAGACGAAGACGTCCAAAGTACGTCCTTCTGTTATCAATACCTGATACCTTGTTAAGCTGGGTTATTAATATCTTCCATAGGACATACTCAGGCTTTAATTTCGTCTGTCTGATCCCTTTTAAAGTATCCGTTCTACCCTTTCATCATCCCCTATTTACATATTCGATCTCCGAGCACTGTAACGATTCAACTCATACAGGCAACGTAGCAGGACCTACTGACCCGAAAGGTCTTATAGAAAAGCCCTTCCCTGAATATACCCTCGATTACGAGAAAATCAAACAGGTTGAGAACCTCTGGATCTACCTGTTCCTTCCTCTCGAACTCGATGCAGAGATAACGAGCGACAGCGCTAACCGACCAGATGGGCCAGGAACCCCATTTTCCCGTTCGAGAACCCATCTAAATCTACAGTACCCCAGTGGTCGCGGGTTTCACGCACACGTGAAACCAAAGTCGGTAGGATCCTTGCGGCCGTATACGTGATTACATGAGAACCGACAAAGATACATCGCCAGTGGGCTTTACCTGCACGCGTATAATTTCCAGCAACGCGGTGAGGGCCCTCGCGTGCATAGTGGGGCGCCACTAAAATCTCCAACAAATTATATAGCCACGATGATCCAGGAACATGCACCGGCACTATCGTACCTTTCAAAACTCCCGTGTCCGGCTTATATACACCGCGCAACAATACACATGAAAACGAGCGAACGATAAACGCCCGATGAGGATACCGTTCGATCAACCATGTATCTACGTATTAGGCATAGCCATGCGCGACCTACGTGTAGCCACCTCGTAAAATTTCCGAGCTCACGTGCTTTTACGAGCCCACTCCGGGGCCACCATTACGCTTTGAGCAACGCGCCAGCCCCCGTTTGCTCTCCAGTACCTCTATCGTCTCTGTTTATCTTGCCGCCGCTGCCTCTATACCGTCTTTGTCGATCGATCCGAGCGACCGCTGATGGGGCGATTGAATTTTCTCGCGACTTTAGGGGCGGATTCGACGGTCTGGGTGGCTGATTGTAATTGCTGGCTTTAATACGTTTTTAAGGTACAACCCTGTATAAACTACCACGAGCACTTTTATTCTACATCCAAATTCGTACGGACACTGTCTTTTACTGCATTGATTTTTCTGGTCTAATTTATAGACTTATGGGTTTATCCATTTAACATGGGCATTCCCGTTTGAGGTTATGATCGCACGTAGTTGCTCCTTGGACTTATAATTTTTGGATTAAGCTACATAAACACCACTTGGAAAGCCAAACAGCCATGGAGGGTCCAGAGTGTTTGAATAAGGTCCCCCCCTAGCCACCTTCGATACGATGTTTTCCCAAGTAACATTCCACGGGTGTAACGCGACGCCCTGCGTCGTCGGCTGCACAATGTTACTCCTGTAACATCGTTACGTACCCGATGTACGTATACACGTATGTATATACTATACACGTAATACAGAGTCCAGAGGGCATCGTACCAGTTCCTACTGCGCTCACCGCATGTACCGACTCTCACTGTTCATTTGGACGATGTGTCCTATTTACAAATCATTGAGGGCCAGTTAACACGTAGACACACGGAAGCACGCGATACGCTGCTACGTACATAAATAGTTTGGAGCATAACGACCGTGTTGATACTATATTCCGTACCTACTGGGTATATCGTATATTGTATCGCGCTTGAGGATAGGTTCGATTTCGAAACTTCTGTCATCCCAGCAGGATATCCATTGCGTCAGATGTTTTATGTACGTTGTATCTTTGTTTGCTATTTTTTTTTTTGGGGGGGAGGGCGATGAAGGTGACGGGGGGAACCTTTATACACGAATCGAATGCCTAGCTGGTATGCCGCATTGGATATTATTGAAAATTATTGGAAAAGAATTAAATTTTGCTTTTTGCCGCGAATCGATGGTTTTTACAAGTTGGAACAACGGAGGAAAAATATATTTGTTTTTCACAATTATTTATTGCGAATGGGATGGGGTTGATTTTGTAACTTTTTTTTTTTCATTACAGCGCAAATTTTTTGTATGAGATATTTTGTGGATTTTGTCTTTGGGGGTGTCTATTTTTCTAGGTATTATTTCCGATAGACGAGTCGATGATTTTCATCAGCGATGTTAAAGGTAAACAAAAAATTATCCTAGAAAGGGATCGCGCATTTTTTCACGTCATCCCTGTCGGGCCTTGTCATTATTTCCCTTAACTGCCCGTAGGCCCACTGTGTACGAAGGGCCTCCCCCCTCCTTCCCTAATATCCTACGGGCACCCGTCGGGGTCCCTGGGCGTGGCTGTGGGGGCCTTCCATCTCGCGCATAACCATGACGAAATTCTTGGGGTAGCTTTTGGAATTAATTTTACGCAGGTAGTCGTAGTACCCCTTGGGACGTGATCGCGCATCGATATTTCACATTTCGACGAATGCCATTCTCTAACTGCATAAAACACGACTACGTGTTCCTCGACCTGACTCCACTAATAACCATTCGAAAAGGAACTACCCCAGTTTCGGGGAAAAGTCCTATACAATTCGGTACGGTTAGCCCGTTCTATAAATACAGTCTCGTTATAAACATGCGACTGTTTGACTTAAACTGGTTACAAATGTCCTGTACAGTCCGTTTGACAAATATTGACTCTTTGTTGCCGTGACGTAACGACAATGGCGGATACCGATGTATGGCGGGACGGTATTACGAGTTCCATTAAGATTTTCAGCAACGTCGAATGCTCGATTGGTCGTAAATTGGAATTAGGCTTAGCAGTAGCATGGTTGGCTTACCGAATGTCGCTCGGCGACTGAACAGATCTGCGTTTAGTCGCTCGATCGACTGGGGCCTATTGTCGTTGGATTATGTGCATAGAAATTGCATCTACAAACGATACTCGCATAGCAGATTCCGTGCGGGAAACCAAGAGCGGCGGTGTAGTTCGTGCTATGTATAATAGTGGATACATATATATATATATATATATATATAGGTATTGTAGGTTATGGCAAAGAACCTTCGACACTTGGGGGGTCCATGTTGCTGGCTGGACATCCAGTCCATGTCAGAGGACTACCCTGGTGAGAATGAAAAAAAAAATAAATAAAAGGGAGATTGGGAATCGTGGTCGAGGTCAGAATGCAAAGGAGGAGAGAGGGTTGTCGTGAGAGAGGGTGGCGGCGGATTTAAGAGAAAGGAAAGAAAAAAAGGGGGTGCTGGAAAAAAGGGAAAAAAGAAGTGAAATTTCTCAAGTTAGAAATCAGCTAGGTTTGCCTCGTGTAATTTATCGCAGCGGAATCCTTAGAAGCTCGTGCAAGCGGCTTACATAAATACGTAGCGTTTTTACACGGTATTGTGTACATGTATATATATATACACCACGTTACCATTTATTTTTCCGGACGCGATTTCGACGTGGATTCGTCGGTGGTGGTACGTTATTTCTTGGCGGGGTGGAAAAAAAAAGAATAAATGACCGCCGAACGTCATTTCCATGTATTTCCCGCGAGTTTGCCTTTACTTTTCTTTGTCTTTCACTTTTCCATTCCTTATGGACCGTCTTGCTGCTCTGAACTCTTCCCCACCGACATCCCTCTCGGAAAGCGAGCATTAACATTTATATTAGTGATCTCTGCCCCGTGGCGGGCGCCGCTTTGAATTATCGGACAATGCCGGGAAACCTGCCGCAGTCCCAAGGGGTTCCTTGGATCCTTTCCTGCTTTTCGGAAAACAGAATGGAATTTCTGCACAGCCTGTACTCTGCGCATTGGCATATGTATATGTATATATACATATATATATATATTACGTAGTTTTCCCACGGAGCGTTTAAATGTTCAGTAATGACAGGAGCATCTCGACTAGCTACAGTATATGATGGACACGTGAAAGAAACATTGCTACCAAGGAAAGGCAAGCGCAACCAAAGTCCGAGGTGGATACGTCGTATAAGTGGTTGGGAAGGAACGAACAAACAGAGTGTATTCGTATTCCTGGCGTCTGTCAAAACAAGCCTCCGACCAAGCAGTGACGTACCGTATAGCCCGTAGTCGTCGTATGTCCCTTCTCAAGAACCTCCTCTGTCACCTCCTCGTTCCTTGTCTCCTTTTCTTTCCCCTTGTCCTCCCTTTAATCTTTTTGCTCCCAGTACTCCCGTCGTCCACTCTCCGTACTCCCCCGCCGGGGTACCCTCCCCATGC